TTATATATCACTTAATTGTGTATAGTGTTATTTTGATTTTTAATTGATAATGCTAAATTAATTAATTCGATATAGATATTATTCGATGCAGACAAATTTTTACTTCCTCCCTCCACCTGAGATTGAGATGGGTGTGGGTGGGATGTATTTTCTTTTTCTTGTAATTTATTTATTTATATTATATTAATTATTATGTAAAGAACAATAAAGGAGAGATGAATCAAAAGTGTTCAACTACTCACTCCTTTAATTTAATTTAATTTAATTTTGTGGAGAGAAAAAGCAATAGATGCATTTATTTCCTTTTCTCCTTTTTTATTTTCTGGAAACATGAAAAAAAGTAGAAGAAAGTTGGATTCTTTTTCTTTTCCTCCCACCTGTATCTCGTGGCATCACAACTTTTTTGACTCTCCAATTTAATTTGACCATTCAACCAATAAAAGAAAAGAAAATCGTTCAACGATAAAGAGTGTGATCTAATGATCAATAACGTTCAAAGAATATCTAAGATACAAGAATTCAAATCACAAAAATAATAAAAATATTAAGTGTGTAATCGACATAATTATTCAAAAAGGATTCATGACACTATAGCTGTTTGTCATGAGCCTAGGCCCTAGCTATGCACAAGTCACGACTTTGTGTTAAAAGCGTTCACCGTATGAATGTGAGTTATGTTTTATGAAAATCTTTACTTTTTCTCTTTCATTCTAATAATAATATTCGTCTTAGGTTTCATGTACACCTCATCTTCAAAAACTTGTCAACCTACAAGTCTGTCAATCCATCTTTATCAGTCCGCCTTCCGTTAAGGGCGTAGATGTATTATATATGAGACACTAATTATTATGCAATCCAATCAAGAAGTAACATCAGGTGACGATTACGGATCAGTGCATCTTAAACTATGATTAATGTCCATGTTCAACGTATATGTACACATCTCACGTTGGAGATTTTAGAATTCTTAATAAACATTATATTAATTAACAAAATAAATCACTATCAACGATTATAAACCCATAATGTCTGGTTCCCGCCGACCAATCACATTTGATTGATATAACATTTGATCATGCATGCTTGCTAATAATTAGTAACGATTATAGCGCGTTTTACATATCAAGATTTTTTTAATTGTTGTTTTTTAATAGACGTGTAAATTTTAAAATTGACAGGTGAAAATAAACGAAAGGAAATAAATATGACATAGGATAGATTGAGACCATTTGTTTAGTAGAGTATAAATGGACCTCTCCAATTATTCGTTAATTAATTAAGGTCAATTAATAATCATAATTAGTTTGACAATGACTAATTAATGAACAGGGAATGGAAAGAAAGAGAACAAACGAAGCATAGGCTTAAAGATGAAAATCAGTTATAAACGGACGGCTCAATAAAATTGATGACCTAAGTCACATTTGAAGAAGTGGTCTTAAAATTAATTAATAAAAAATTCATATATTTTCATTTAATTTGTTTTTATTTTGTAACAATAATATCATCTTGTATATGTCTTGGTCATTTAACGATTACTTGCTAGCTTTAAGTATTGATGGAAAATCTGGTAATTTTATGAACCAAGACTTTGACAACATCTATTTAAGAAATATTCGTTGTAAAAAAATATATTTTTATAAATGAATTTCTATTTTTTAATGATCTCAATTTTGTACTACTTAGTAGATGTTACAATAGTTCTTACATTTAAAACATTGCATTGAAAAACTAGCTTTGACCAGTAAGAAAATACTACAAGACACTTTAATTCATTTTTAAAAAAAATTAATATCATCATTAAATTGTTCTTTTCATCACATCGCATGTTTGTCATGAAACTCAAGTATTTATCTGAATAATTACATTCCAAATAACCTCTATAACATTCCAAATTTTTTTTAAAAAAACAATTTTAAAAAAAATTCTATTGCTCTATAACAATAATTTATAAAATGGGGCCTTTGATTTGGGAAGGTCTAAAGAAATTAATTAGTGGAAATTTCTGTCCAATTATTTTGGCTATTAACGTACTCTTTGAAAAACAAAAAGGTAGATGCTCATAATGGAGCTCTCGTCCTACTCCATCTAATTAAAGAAAAAATATTGACAAATATTTAGGCATGTTTAATTTTTGTAAATTGCTAGTGCTTGCTTAATTATTTCTCCTAGGACTTTGATACTACGAGCCTGTTTGCATGAGCTTATAGATGGTACCCTATTTTTGACTTATTTTAAAACTTTTTTTGCCTAAAAGTGGGTGCTTATAAAAATTACTTTATAACATTTTCAAACACCTCCAAAACTAAAAAATAATAATCTTAAACGTCAAAAACACCTAAAAATAAGTTAATCCAAACGGGTACTACATAAGGACGATAAATGAGATTTCTTCATTTTCAGCCTGAGATTTTGAATTCGATCTTTAGGAATGAATCTTTTTTGAGAAACTTACAGAAATCTCATTAATTAGTTTTAAAACTAGTTACTTAGATATACGGTGATTCGCAATATTACGAATCCTATCAGATTTTGGTGCGTTCAAATATGTTCATATATGTCTATATACAATATGTATCTAGGGATATTGGGTCAAAATTCGGTATAATTTGCTCTAAATACATTATATCCAAGTGGATTCATATGTATCTTAGATATATATACAAATCTCATTCGCATCCCTCACATCTCGCTTGTCACTCTCCTATTATTCATATCCCAGATATATGTGAATCACACCAAATACACACATTACATGTATCTAGTGTACTGATTCACATGTATTTAGGATACCTAGACAAATCTCATTTGCCTCCCTCTTGTGTTCACTCGCCTCTCTCCAATTTCAATGAATCTGAAAGCAAAAACATGTATCTAACTTGAAATCTGATATGAAATTATTAATTAGAAATATAAAATGTAATCATTTCAAATTATAGAGAAAATTGATAAATATAATAGAAATATTTATGTAGTTAGATAGTTTTTCCATTTCGTTTGGGGGGGGGGGGGGAATATTATGAGCCTACTCAATACAATTTTCAAATTAAGAGTTAGTGCGTTTTAGATACCGATTACCAAAAAAAACCAATAAAAACCAATAAATGATATAAAGGTATTAATACCAAGTGTACTTGGAGATTGAGAACATTAGAACATGGAGGAATCCAAAGACTTGAGTGAATTGTCTATTTGTCCTCTTCATAATTGTTACTATTATTAATAATAATAACTACAAAAAATGTGGACTATGGTAAGCCACCTTTCAATTTAAGGTACTCCATAATATCATGTGGTGTCTCTCCACCTGTTTTTTGATTGGGTAACACAATAAGGGATTGTTTGGTAATTAGGAACAAATTACTTCATAGTTAATTATGCTAGGATAAGTTATTCAATGACTATCTAATACCTCCAACCAAACATAGAATTAATGCAAATATTAGCCAAGAATGGAAAAAATTAATAAATGTGAAAACGAAATAATGAATTCTCGAGAACCCCCATCATATGACCTAAGTCCGCTCTTATTATATATATTTTTCATAAATACTCGATACAGATAAGTTTTGAACGGAAGGGAAGTAGGGGTGATGAAATGCAACACGTGATAGAACATATGAATAATGTAGTGTACTAAAAAGTTAAAAAGGAGACAAGAAATTGACCCAAGTCAGTGGATTTATTGAACTAAAGTTAGCAAACAGATAAAATAAAAAAAGGACTATTCTTTTTTAATTTGATTTGATTATGATTTTTGAACAAACACTCATCACTCATACTGTATACACACAAAAATGCATGAAACATGTCAACACACAAACGTCAAAACGGCAACCAAATTGGTGCTTTCTAAGTTAAAATACGTTATCATCTTTTGTTCTCTACCATGGAAACAATCATTTTTTGGTTTGTTTCTTTTTCTTTTTTAGGTTACAAATTAACTCCACGAGGGGTGGTCATGATTTTTTTGGTTTTGCTTAACAATTTTTTTTTATAAAAAAAAAACTTTGTTTTGGAAAACTCGATGGGTAAAGTTATTGTTGTCTATCGGATGTAAAATTATTTTGAATATTTTAAGACAGTGATCAACATGTTTAATTAACCACGATTGGATTGGATATATGTAAATTCTAACTTTGGTCTATAAAGCAGATGTTTAGGATATATTTCATGATAGTGAACTTGTTTAACTACCCACAAGTTCTGCCTAATACACAAAAGTTAAAACTTCTATCTGGTGGACAACAAACACTTTCTAGCCAATTTTTTCAGCAGGTCATTTTAAAGTATAATTTACACAAATCACGTCTTGTTAAGAGCTAATTACATTATTTTTCTAAAAAAAATTCTCCCAAATTACAATCCTTGAAATTTATGAATTTCGGATACATCATTAGATATCCAGATACATAGAGGAGTACTCATAGGGGAGTATATATCAGAGAGGGGATATGACATCCAAATACATAGAGGAGTACTCATAGGGGAGTATATATCAGAGAGGGGATATGACATCCAAATACATAGGGGAGGAAAGTATCCGAGAGGGGAGGGATGTATCAGAGGGGGGATCAGGATGAATCAGCGAGAGAGGAGTGATGTATCCGAGATGAGAATTTTGAAAATATTTAAATGATTGAAAATTCTAGAGATTATGTTAAAATAAAACGTATATTTAAATAATTTTTCCTTTCCTAAATAAAAAATATTTGTCAGAGGACAAAAATTTCAAGACCAACCATTTTACCACAGTAAGCGTAATATTCTGCTTTTGGGGAATATTATTGTAATCATCACTGTCCTATATTAATCGATCAGAATTATATTTTTGTCGTATAACTCAAATTTACATCCCATTCTTCAGGGTGGTCAGTTTCTCACACACATGTATTGGCAAGATTAATTCGAATTTCTGCAATATGATCTATTAAAGAGAAAAACACTTCCGATTAGAAAATTCTCATTTATAAGGTTCGAACTTAAAATCTCTTATGTGGAATATAAGTACCATTAGACCATAAACCTTAGTGAATTTACAACTTCTAAGAACAAATGGACAAGCTAAGAAATAAACAAGAGAACTCAGAGATGAAGCAAATCTGCACATCAGAATAAGACTCTTGAGACACTTTTTTACCACATCATAAGTTACAGGAATTTGCTTCATTCTTCACCCTTTTTTTCCAGCCACATTCCTTCCCTTTTTTTTTCAATTATAGAAAAGGGAAGAGGGGCAGGGGTCAATATGCATGTGATAATTTTATATATCCTATTCACCTGAATTTCTAACATAAACGATCGAAACATATTATGACATGATGGATGAAACACCTCGTGGAAACAGGTTAAGCATCAATATCCAGAAACCGGAGGATGTTCTTGTATACACTTCATTCATCTTTGTTTGATAGTTCATGTCTTCTCCTCTGTCCTACCTCTACTAGTAATGTTAGAAGAGCTTCACAAACTTGAGATGCATCAGCCTCTGTCGGGTTATCATTTAATTCAGAATATACCATCCAAGCATGATCCAGTTTCCGTTTTGGCCTAACCACCACCGAGCCAGGGACTTCTGCATCACAACAAGTAACAAGCCCATCGCTCTTCTCACCATACCTGATCTGAAGAAGCTGAGCACATGCAGCCATCACAGCACCAAGAGGCATCACTACTGGGAATGTAGTTGCAGGTTGGGCAGCGGAAAATGTGGGCAGTTCTGCATGTGCCACACGAGATAATGTGGCTAAAACTGCTGGAGAAATGCTAGCTTCCGTTCGGAAGGAAACAACAGGAAGCTCCCTTGGCAAATGGTATTTGCTCAAGAATTCCTTCCTCCTCTCATAAGTCAAATCTTCCAAAGCTAGCAAGTCCCCCTTCAAAACAGCAGCAGATATTAGAATACCTAACACAAAATGCAAACACTCAGCAAGAAAACAATTCCTCATATATTTGACATGTGGAGCTTGGACTGTTTGGATTTTTTTTTTTTCGTTTTGCTTACTATGAGCACCAGAAAATCAACCATCATGCTAAGAACATCCAAGTCAAGAGATAGGTGTGTTTAAGGAACATCCAGAATGTAAATCTTGATGTGGAAGTATCTGGACATTCAACCCATAAAAGGCAATGTGTAGAGTAGCTTAGGACTATCATAACCCATTAGGGATAGTTGCTATGACACCCTCCCACACGTGTAACTTGATCCTAGGGTTTACGCATGGATTTGAAAACCTTGTCTCTTTTCTAGGAAGGAGTCGCAAGGCTAACGAAGAGGCCTGTAAGTTCTGAGAAACAACTGAACATGTAGCAGATACAGGGACTGGGAACCTAAATAAGCCACAAAAACATAAAAGTGATCAAATTAAGCCACTACTTTAGTAAGTAACTAAAATAGGCTTAGTGGAAGAAAAAATTCCACTTTATCTAATATTCTAAACATTTTCCGTTAGTCTCATAACGTGTATATTTTAATATATAACGGAATTATTTTCTACACTTTATAAAATGGAACTATTTCTTACACTTTATAAAGTGGAACTTTTTCTTACACTTAATAAAGTGGAACTTTTTATTACACTTTTTATAAAGTGGATGGACATCGACCGATAAAGGAGAACGTTGTTGACTAGTCTTAGGCTCCTTCCTAACATAGATTTCAAGTATTGTTTACTTGATTTGATCTATGTAGTCATCCGGAACCCTCAAAAAGTCGGTCAACGATTCGTCATTATAGATAATCCACTCTCCAAAATTTACTTGTCCTTGTGATAAAAATGAAGTAGGGTATTTTACGACTATAATCAAATTATAAACAGTATTGTTTATACCCAATCTTTTATAAATTGATGAAAAAAATTTATGATATCGGACATTAATTGAATATTTAGCATTGTGTTTGGGAGGACAATTATAATAAACGGTATTTCCATCATGTATAATTTCGCCATCCCAATAAATCAAAACTCTAACTTTTGGTTTAGAAGACATTTTTTTTTTGAGATTGAAATGAACAAATATAGAAAGTACGTTGTAGGTGCTACCAATTAATGTTTGAACGTCCTCCTTAAATAGAGATTGGAGGATTTTTCAGAATAAAAAAATAAAAATACATAGTGTAATAATTTTTTCCGTTTTTATGATATGTCAAATCAATATAATTGTATGACAAACACTGCAAAAGAGATAAAAACGTGAAAATATTCCTCTTTGTAAAGTGGAATTTTCTCTTCCACTTTGTAAAGTGTAAGATTTTCTTCCACTTTATAAAGTGTAAGAAAAAGTTCCACTTTATAAAGTGTAAGAAATAGTTCCATTTTATAAAGTGTAGAAAATAATTCCGTTATATATTAAAATATACACGTTATGAGACTAACGGAAAACGTTTAGAATATTAGATAAAGTGGAATTTTTTCTTCCACTAAGCTTATTTTAGTTACTTACTAAAGTAGTGGCTTATTTTGATCACTTTTATGTTTTTGTGGCTTATTTAGGTTCCCAGTCCCAGATAAAGGAAGTAATCTCAACAGGATAAGGAATGAGGTTAGAGTAAGTTAGTGACTAGATGGGCTGAATTGAGAAAGAAAAACCCAGAGAAATCTAACAAATAGAGAAAAAATGATCCTAAAAACAAGTTCTCCAAGTTTGACTCTACCATCATGTCAACGAATCAAAGCATCCAACCCAGAACAATAAAACTAATGAGAAGTGTAGCACAGAACCATTGTAAATCCTTTTCAGCTAACGCAATCGATGATGAATAGGTGACATATTATCTCACACTTTTCAAACAGTGTTTCTGCATTGAAAAGGAGGAGGAGAAAGTCCAGAACGCTAACAACTTACATATACAATATTATGTTATATACAACGGATACACATTACATACACTGCTTACATGGATGCAAGTAAATATATAACCATAATAAGTAACAAAGAAAAACTTAATGTTACTCCAACTATATACTCTACTTCTCTTGTCCTGCATCTTTAGTTAAATGTCATATAATATAACTTTGAAGAAAACTGTAAGTTGCAGGTTCACATCACTTACAGGTCTTATCAGCTTAAGCCATGACCTTTATCATGAACAACGTTATTTGAAACTTTCATAAGGGATCTCTTGACTCATCTAATTTTCTCTGAAACAAGGATGAGCAGATGTTTCTCAAATTTTTTCAGCCACTTCATCAGTTAGTCAATGTAGCTTGTTGGACCACACAATCTGCTATCCATGCCTTATAGGAGAAGGTTACAAGTGATCATTCCAAAAACAGAAAACAAGTGTTTTTTTCTGTTTATAATTCCTTAAAACAAGTTGTTCCAAGCTTAGTCGCCAAAAAATTTACAACTAGCTTCTGATCATTTTTGAGTCAATGTTGGGAGCTTAATATACTGTCAAGAAATCACTATTCATGGTTGTAATATAACCATAATCAAGCAGTAAAGATCTATAACTAGGCCATATATATAGTAACAGCCTTCCGTTAGAAGCCAATCATATGCATGAAGCTACTAATCCATCGTAATAACAAGTGAGATATTCCAGAATAATGTCAAACCCTGATGACACTGTTTTAGTTCTAAAATCTGGTTGGTTCATTTTTAAACAGTAAATTAATTAAAAAATACCTTATTTCTTTTATCCCAAAGGTTTGAAGAACAATACCTGAATAGCTCACTGATACTTTCTTTACCAAAATACCCTACAGCGTTCTGCATAATCTCTCACAATATAGGCTTACACAGCCCTTTCCAGAATGGAGTAAGAGGATGAAGAAAGCTTATATTGAAATTCCTTCCAACCCCTCATAATCTCTCTCTCTCTCTCTCTCTTGTACGCAACAGACAATACCGATTTACTTCTGCTGTCATGTCAAGTTTTAAAATCATCTCCAACACCACCCCTTTTTCTCTTTTTCCCATCACTTGTTGTACACACTTTCTACACAAAGCCCAACATCCATGAATAGTATTAACACAAAATTTAGCTCCCAGCTATTACTATACAGCAGAGGGGCAAGTGTACACACATAAGAAAGGAACCATACAGTTCTTTCTGATGCACATTACACACTCAAGAAAAAGCCTTCAAAATGGATGTCAGTTTACTTATATCTGGCCTACAGGATCTCCTCCTCCAAAGACCACAATAATTAATTACCTCATAATAACAGGAAGAATAAAGGCAGACCACTAAATTATCTTGGACGAGTTCTCGAATTCTGTAAGTGCCTTGGTGCCTTTTCAGATTTCATATTTTGACGACCTAACTTCAGTAGAGATCTACACTAAATTATTGCACGCCCACAAGTACCTCAAATTTGAGCTTTCCTTGAACATCAAGCCATACTTCCATCGTTGTCTTGGCTGCCATTCCAATTACTTTCTTAGGTTTCCAACACAATCTTTACCTTTAACTTCTTCTGTTTCCCCAAAAACAAAATTCAAAAGATCTTTGACAGAAAACAAACACACATCACAGGGATCTTGCATATTACTCTTCTTTGTACACGTTGACCCATAGCGTGAAAGAGAGAATTACTCTACAACTACTGATGATTTTAAGCATGACAGAAACTTCATCTGATCATACAATATTGGGACAGAAAACAAGACAATCCGACACTAGAAGAATAGATTCACATCAATAACAGAGAACGCGACAACTAGAGGATATACCTTGATTACTTTACAGATGAGGGTCTCCATAAGCTTGCGAATGTTTACATAATCACCAAGTTGTCCTTCTCGTAAAATGTCTGAAGCAATTGGACTTCCACCATATGGACTCTGTGCTAAAACCAGCCCTCCAACCTTATCTTTCAGATCAGTCCAATACATGGACAGAGCAGCTGCTGCATCTACTCCTCCTTTACTGTGTCCAAGAAGCAAGACACGTTTCCTGGAACCCCAATAAATTTCTTCAATGTAATCTTTAATTTCTCTCGCATTCTTCTCCACACAGGCCTGCTTGTTTTATGTTAGGTAGTCTCACAGAAGTAGTAAGCTGCACACATGGTTTACAAACAAGAAAAATACCAATACCTCACTATGAATTTTGGCTATATGACAAGTGAGCCCCATTTTTGAAAAGCTTGTTTTTGTATTGACAAAATAAAGCGGTCCATGATTGCTAAAGAGACCTGAATAGAGAAAAGAAGACCAGTAAATATCAGGACATCTGCTACTAAAGATGATTAGCTTGCTCATATCTTAAAAGACACCTTGAACGGTAAGATCAATTTTCCAACATCCCCCTAATAAGTAATAACTACTACCACCGTCCCAGTATTGTGGCACGCTTTCCTTTTTCGTTTGTCCCAAAAAGAATGTCACCTTTCTATAATTAGAAATAATTTAACTTTAAGATTCCCCTTCTACCCTTAATAAAATGATTTATTTCAAATTTTTCCCTTCTTTCTTAAACCTTGTGTCAAGTCAAACGGTGTCAAGTCAAATGGTGTCATATAAATTGGACCGAAGGAGGTAATAATTAAAAGGTCCTGAGTAAAGCATGACCCTAAATATGGTTAAAGACAAGTGCAGGCAAATCTGGGGAAAATAATCCACAGAGCTGTACTGACACAAGCGAGTGTTGGCACAGTACAACTGAAAAGCTTTCCATAAATTCTTTGAGGCAGATCTAATTTCAAATTTTAACCATTTTGGTTTGTTTACAATCACTATTGATGGGAAAAGGGTGTTTTTACCTGGAACTAACAAGTAAACCATTGAATTTGGTAATCCATGTAGACCATGCCTAACAAAAAGAGATCAGAACAAGTCAAATTGTGTCCGAGTTGGCAGTTGCAGTCAATTTACACATCAAGTGGTGTTTTTACCTAATATCATCAATGATTTCCACAAATCTATCAGTTTGATCATCAACTGGAGGCATATGTGAAGCACGTTGTAGCCATCCAATATCATCAGCTGACCCACGAACTGTCCTTCTCACCCTCTCTATAAGACTAAAAACAAAAATGCAAAAATCATGAGGAGAAGCACTTCAATAAGTGCACGAATTATACGAACGGGTAGAACTACCAATACCAACTGTTCAGTAGAATAAAAAATAGAGAAGTCCTTAGACTGCAAGAAAGGAATATAACAGCTTCCAAGATTCTCTAACTTGACTTTTATTTTTTATTTTAAAAAACAGCAGCATCTATGTAGTTTCATGACAATGACTATCCATACATATGTATAACAAGCATATGACGGGAAATTTAACATGCCAACTTGAATCTATTCAGATAATCGTACCCTTGGAAAATGGAAATACCATTTGGGCTGGTATTCCTTGATAAAACCTGTGCACTGGAACCCTCAGATAGGTCCTCCGAGTTTGTGGCTGCATTACCACTTTGGGATGATTTTCTAGATAAGGTCCTGCTTAATCCTTCATGGAGAAGTGGAACATCAACAGATGATTGAGATGCTTTACAAACAGCTAAATCACTTCCACTTGACGAAGCAGTATTTAAGACTGGGGATCCTCTACTTTCGGCAGAACCAAATGTAACCATCTCCTGGCCTCCTAAGCCTCTGGAGGCAGGTTCTGCTACAGTTGGAAGCAGGAAAAAACATCATGCAAGCACTAAATTGGTAACCCGCCACAGTTCATCAAATTAAAACAACATACCCAATGTAGTCACACCAGAGTTCAGGAGTTAATATCATGTCAACTATATTTATGACCATGCAGCATCTTATGTCGAAGAGGAAAAGGAAAAACGGAAAGAAAAGCTTAAAATCTCAATTCCTAATATCTAGTGCCTCAACCTAAAAATCTAGTGATACCAAGATACACTGTTGCAATTCAAAACAGATATGATCCAAGTATGCAAACAAAAGAATAAGACACTCATTTTCACTTACTTAAAAGGATAAACACAAACTTTCAATCATGTCACTCTAAGTAGTAAAAAATCAACAGTTTCACATGTCCCATTAGCTTTCGCCACAAAATTCAGCATGGGAAGTCTAACCTGGAAGATATTACTTGGATACATTGGCAACAAATTCAGAAAGGGAACTTTTTCTCTTAATATTCTAAGACAATAAAAAGAAGACTTTAAAAGGTTGAAATTCTAAAACAAATGCAGTATACAAAACCTAATGGATCAAAAACCACCTAACAACCTATCTCAACCAATAATCATTAAATGACTCAGGAGATAAATTTACTAAGGGCAAAAGAAAGGGAATACATGAATAGGTTCATGAAGCTCACCAGAATAATCCATGAAACAGCGAGTAAATAAAGATGTCGTCTCAGAAAGATAGGAAGCAGCATCATTGAGAGCCGGCACAGAGGTAAGTAGCTGAGGGATAACCCTATTGTTTCGTAAAGAGCTGTCATTTGCCTGGCCAAATAAAGGGGACCGCATGAAGTTCAAATAATAAAAGACAAGAAAAACTTTCAGAAAGTTAGGGACCAAATGCTTCAGAGATGTACATAGAGATTATCAAAAAACATGTACACTTGAAAAAGAAGATAAAAGCCAAGTAATATCTAAAGAAGTTGATAACTTTAGCCCTTAGTTCTTGGACAAATTGCTGATATCCAACCATAGTCCAAGTCTGCATAAATGGAAGTGACCTTGCCATGTAAGTGAGAGGAAAAGCAAAAATGTCAAATGCAGGTAGGGATGATAATGGGCCAAACTTCTGCAGTTATGCTTATCTAGTCTGCCTGTACATATAGGGCTTGGTGTTGTAGAATTGTGGATTTGGCAATAAAGAGGAGATGTGGGCACTGTTGGTATTCTTAACCACTCAGTCCTCCACCACAGTTTCTCCATTCCTTTGCAAATCCTGTTTGACCTAACTTCACATCAACAGAGGGGGTTGGGTATACAGGATTGGCCTTCGGTTACGGTTGCCTAGCATGACTTAAGTTATTAGTTGAAGCTTGAAAAAGTCACTTACCTAAAATCAGAACTATTATTGTCACAGCACGCAAACCTAAGCAGTTAGCTAGTGGATCTGTATACATTTACTGGAGGCTAACCCCGAACATGGTGAAAAATGGAGTGTGTGAATGAAACAACAGGATGTCAGTATGTTATGAACCATTTAGAGGGTACACAATATATTTTGTGCAAATTTTGTCTCTCGACTTCATTACGAAGATTAATACGATGAATATCTTACACCAGGACTATCGAAAACTTCTATCCCAACCAGGGGCTAATTACAAAAATGTTCCATATAAGAAAACATCATAACAAATGCATACGCGAAGTACCATTAACTGATCCAAGAACCCCTGGATCAACTAAAACCATAAAGACCTGCCTTTTTCGCACTTAAGTTTCAAACATACAACACGAAACACAATATCCCTATAATTAGCTTTACACTACACATACTGCTGTATTCAAAATGAAACTCCTTGGAGAATTCAAACATTGGTACTTCTATTTAGCATAAAACTGGCAAAAAAAACATTAAGGGAAGGTTTTTTTTCCCAATAAATTAGTAATCATGGGTGCGAGCATCTTACCACAAAGGGCTCCCTCGACTCCTGGGTTGTATTGTTACTCCCCTCCATATTATAAACTCACAGCTAATAAAGCAAGCAAATTAAATTGGTCATAAACCAAAATTTAAGTAACAAATATGAAAAACCATCAAAAGGGGGCGGATAATCAAACATAAAACTTGCAAAAATTATATCTTTGATCAACAAAATCATAAAATTTGAAAAACATCAAAAATACCTTCAAAAAACTACTAATTCAATCAGCAGAAGAGATTGAAATGAGCTTCGGCAATTTTACGATTCTGAAAAAACGATTTTTTTAATTTTTTCTTTTACCAAAAATATAAAAATTGTAAATTAGAGGCTTCGAGAATGATAGAGAAAGGGTAAATTACTTAATTGCAAAGTAATACCAAAGTTAACGAACACTCCATTGAAGAGAAAGACGACCAAAATTCTTTTGAAACGTCGTCGTATAGAGATTATACGAAGAAAACGACGGGGGGTTGACGGTTATGCTTAGCGGAAATGAAGATCGTGCACCGCCCTATTTTTGGGCTGGGCCACATAGGAATTTGATCCAACTAGTTTTTCAACGACAAAAATAAAGAAGAAAAACAACCTAATTAGACAAACATTCCTATCGTATTTACAAATTTTTCTAATAGTTTGAAATAATTAAATATTTTCTTATTAATTAATAATTTTACATCAGATTTCAAGTCAGATATATGTAAATAAGGAGAGGTGAGCGAGAAGAGACTATATTTTTGCTACCAGATACACTAAAATAAGGAGAGACGAGCAAGAGAAGGAGAGAGACTGTATTTTTGATACCAGATACACTAAAATAAGGAGAGACGAGTGAGAGAAGGAGAGAGGCAAGTCAATCCCTAGATACATGTGAATCACACTAGAGTATCTAATACTGGGATACCATATACAAAGAGAGAGAGAGTGGCGAGCAAGAGATGAGAGAGGCGAGAGAGTCAGATACATGCGAATCCACTTGGATATTGTGTATCTAGAACAAATTACACATAACTTTGACCTCATGTATTCGAGATACATGTATTTGGATGTATCTGGACGCGTCACATACATGTATCCGAAATCCAAAATCTGGTAAAATTTCATGATATTACAAACTAGTGCGAATTTAAGTAGTTAGCGCTTAAACTAGTGGGATTTCTGTAAGTTCTAATCATAACTAGTTTTTCAAATTTACTTCTTTTTTTTCCACAAAATTATTTTTTCTTATTGAATAATACTTCCAAAAGAATAAAAGAGACATTAATTATAATAGATACAAATAAAATAGAAAACAAAAGAGTTAGTATGTTAATTTAAAGAGTTCAACTTTTTGTATATTTAAGTCGTATAGCTAGTGAACTATTTATATAGAACATATATAAATATAAATGGTAAATCTTAACAAACATGTAAACATTGTTCACACTATTATTAAACAAATTTAACATCCTTTCTCCATGAATAATGTTCTTCCATATTTCCAACAACATAAAATTGCATGAGTTATGAAACTCATGTCTTTCTTATTCTTAGCTTCACATAAAAATGAAAAAAAGTGAAAACACCGTCTTAAAAGACAGTTAGAAAGAAAATAAATAACCTTATAACATGAGATTTAAATTAGAGACTCCTAAGGAGTATGCCTTCAAAAGTAATGCCAGGACCAAATGCTAATGCAAGTCCCCATTCTTCACCACCATCTTTCTTATTCTTCATCTCTTCCCTCATATTCTCAATCACATAAAAAATAGTATTGCTACTCACATTACCAAAATCCATCAATGCCTTTCTGCTACAATTCAATTTCTCATTTTGTAACTTCATTGTCTTCTCCAATCTGTCTAGTATAGCCGGTCCACCGGGATGAACAGCCCAAAACAAGTCGTTGTAATTACTTCCCTTCAATTCATCATTCTTCGCTATCAATTTCTTGCAAAATTCTTCAATATTGTCCTGAATTTTCTCAGGAAGGTCTCTACCTAATTTGAAGTTTATCCCTTCATCAGTAAGTCGTCCATCGATCACATTCTTTGTCCCTGGTAAGAATTGTTGCATCGCGAAATTCAGCTCAATGAAAGGGGACTCTGTTCCAACAATTGGTTCTGTTCCAATTATGACAGCAGCAGCTCCATCACCGAAAAGTGCAGCACCAACTAGATCGTATGGTCTAGCGTTATTAGGTGGCCTAAAACCAAGTATTGTAGTTTCAGAAGTTGTTAACAAAACTCTGCTTCCTGGATTGTTTTCAGCTATATCTTTGGCCACTCTAAGCCCTGTAACACCACCATAACATCCTAAAAAGTAGAGCATTACGCGTCCAACGTCACTCCTCAATCCAAGCTCAGTTGAGAGATGAAGATCACCTCCTGGTAAGCGTATTTCGCTTGATGAAACATAAACAATGTGAGTGATTTCATCAACTGTTCTTCCCCATTCCTTGATACAAACTAAACTTGCTTCTTTTGCCATTTCAACAACTGCTGGATTCGCAATTTCTAGCCTTTGATTTATTGTTGGTGTGCCTTCAGTTGCTAGTTCTGGATACTTTTCCAAAATTTCGTTGGACATCACTGTGTATCTTGTCTTCACAGTAGTAGTTTTGCCTACATTCAAAAACAGGATAGTTTATCTGTTGCAACATGTTAAAATACACTATAGGTAAATAAGACAGTTTACCTGCTACAACATGTTGTATAATTTCATGATATATAAGTTAAAAGCATGTAGCATGCATTAATAGAAGTAAATTTTTGCTTACAAAGGCGCTCCAATTTCTCCTTAATTCTCAAATCTTTACAATTGGTGTCGCGCATGTAGCCTTCAACCAAGCAATCCTGAGGGACGAGTTGTGGAGGAAGAGCCTTTCCCATGGCAAGAATAGTGGCTTTTCCCGGAGTAGGAACGCGTCGTGATGGTTGAAAAAAGTGGTTAGATGCACCATTAACATTCTTGTTGTTGTGAGACATATTGTTCTAAGAGTATGTGACTTTAAGATTGAAATCTTTTGTATGAGATTGTTACAAACATGTTGGATGAAGATGTATAAATGGTGAGATAAATTTGTTGTTTGGAGAAAAGTTGGTTTAATTGTGTTGAGAGAACTATTGGCATGACTAAATTTAAAAATAGTACATGCTTTAACAATGAGGTAGATTTTAGATATTTCATGATTGAGTTCTTGTAGATGGTTTAATTTGTGTGAAGATATAAATAATACGAAAGCAATCTTTTTCCCTTCTTTCACCTGTTTTTTTCCTTTTTCTAATTTTCTTGTGTTGTTCAAGATTTTCCACTTAAGTCATATATTTTTCAAATGTTATAATTGTATAAATATTTTTTGTTGTCTTCTTATTTTCATTTCAAGATATTCATTGCTTATTTTCTTTTAGAAATTACTAGCTATAATCATAGTTAATTTATCTGCTTAGCATGTATCTGATATCGCAATATAACAAAAATTGTAATATCAAAAATTCGCGAATTCAGAGTGCTCTAGAACAATCACCAATAAAATGGATTGGACTAATACGATATAATACAGAGTGGCCCATGCTGCTCGTGTTGGGCCCTTCTAGTGAGGCCCGTCTCCTAACATATTTTCATGCAAAAGCAATAGAAAACATTGAAGTAATTTAATCCTTTTTTAGAAAAAATTCCTGTAATAAGTATTTACTATATAAAATTATAGTTTTATATGATGACGATAAAGGGGATCCTGCCTTGTCTTTTGGCGAATCCACTCTTTTCTTCGATGATTTAGTGGCCTCTAATTCAGAGAGACTGTTGATGATTGCATTCAAACCTCGCTTCAGGAATGTGTTTTCCTCGACTTCCCATTTGGTTTGAACGATGGAATACTCTGTATGAGTGGTGGAAAATTAGAGGAGATCTCAGGAATATCCGCCTACAAGGTGTTCGCTGAAATACCTTTTAGGGATGTTGACATGAAAGTTGCCAATTCAGTGAAGCACGATGTCGTAAAACCTGAAACCAAGGTGTTCGATAAAAGGTTTCACACAATTTCCACAGTTATGTGTGATTCCAGTAACCTTGTCATGTTTGACGAAATGTTGTTTGCACTCTCTTGTATGCTCTCAGCTTGTAGTTCCAGCAATGGTATAATTGCTCACTTAAATGAAAATCGATCCCACTAAACTTCCATTCTCCCCGTATCAATTTCCACCAACTTAATTCAAATTAGAATTTCCATTCGATCCCTGTTCTATTATGCCTACCACAATTCATGGGTCTGCAGACTGTTATTAATTATTTCATGGTTGTGGATGATTTCAAGGAGATCATTTAAATATATGTATGTCATTTTGATTTCACGACCAGTGATCAATGTGCCTTAAATCCATTCCCCTATGATCCCGGTGTGCATCTGCAGTCATTGTAACATTTGGTGGACGCCTACAAGCCCTACAACATTTGTATTCACGCTCTTTTTCATGATAGACACATTTCAGTTATTTGGGTCAGTTCTCTACATTCTTTCCACTGTGGAACCTGCTAAATCCCCTAATTGAAATTGAACAAACTTTTTCTATTCAAATAACTCAATTATATAAATACACGAGAATTATATATACATACACGCGGATTATACAAATAAGGTCGTCCATAACATCTTAAATTATAGCTACCGCATGTAAATATACAAAATATAGCTAAAGAGCCTAATTAAATTTATTATAATGATATTTGCAAAATTTTCTCAAATTTTAATAAGGGGAGATTTCCGCCAAGATAAATATGATTATTAAATATGAGTAGATCAAACAAATAATATTAAAAAACAAACCACATTTAAGTTGTTCACGATAAATTAATACACTTGATGCTAAATTATTTGTTGTTTGACGTGATATATATGTACGATAATTATCAATCATATTTAAGCATATCTTGCTGATCAGTGATCATTAGTTGAATAGACATGTACTAATATTTAAGCTTAATCAATGCTCAATCATTTTTTCCTCAATTAACTCTTTAGTACTCAAGTTAATAATGCACCCTAAAATAATAAATAGTATAATATATCATGA